CATATATATAAATGTGTGTGTGTGTTACACACATAAATGTGTATATATTTATTTTTATTTACTTATTTTTGTTAAACAGGGGTAGATATTATAAGGTTCTTCTCTTCTTCTGCTTCCTTTCATTTTGAGATTTGTGTTTCTGTTTTGTTGTACTGAAATTTTTGTTTTTAATCGTAATGAATAAACTATTAAAACAAAAAAACATAAAACAAAAATAAAACATTTCCCCCTCTGTCTAACACTGAATCAGACTAAACTTTTCCTGTTTTAGGTCAGTTATGACACTTTTTTTATTAGCTAAATGCCCAAAAGAGAGGTATATTTTTACTACTTTTTTTTTTTTTTTGGTGTGAAATGTGCACATAAACCCCAAAAACCTGAAGCTGTTAAAGAATCATTATCTCTAATGAAATGAGTTCTGTACTGACGGCTGAATTACTCTGAAAACCACAGATATTATCCAGTCTACTGTTTAAACATGCAGGAACACAGAGCTTCATTTGTGGAGATGTTTCTGAGATCCCAGGAAACAAAAACTGGACCACAGATTTATTTTTCAAAGTCAGTTTTTCACCATATGATTCATACTTTATAAATGTCATAGTTTATAAACTAAATATTTAACTTACTAATTAAATATTTAGTTAACAAGCTAAACATTTAAGTTAAATATTTAGGCAGTTAACTAAATATAAAAATAAAATGTGCGGACAGTGATAAAACTGTAAGTGACTCAGTTCCTGAAGCTCTCAGGAGGAAGGAGACACAACCCAACCAGTGAGAAACTTGGGGAAAGAAATCCTCCAAACATTTAAATACATGATTTTTCTGAACTGTGTCTGAATTAAAACAGTTTGATTTAATGTCAGAGAAGAAGAACATGGTTCTGTCTTTTTATAATGTCTAGTTTAAACTGTAAATGAAAAGCAGAAGAACAGGTTGTGTTGAAACATTGTCGTTTACCCACACCTGACACACAAACACCACAGGACTGGGAGAGTTGGACCTGTTTTTACATTCAACTCAAACAACAGACCCTGATCCACACAGAGACGAGGAACACCTGGACTTATAGATGACGTCACTGGAAGGTAAAAGGTGAGAAGAGAAACTGACCTTTCACTGCTGCCTGACCCATCGGTGAGGAGGACACACACACACACACACACACAGCTGGATTAAACGTGTCGAACACTGGATTAGATGTAATCCCACTGGCACCGGGTGCGGTCTATCGTGCAACAATCAGCTACCTGAGTGACGTCACACGGTCATGTGACCATGGAGGTGGGACAAACTGTGTGTTGTGAGTGCACTTCTGCTGTGTTAACGTGTTTCTGCTGAACCTGACTGAGGTGGAGTCAGTCCCCTTCAGCGGAAATCATCCTTTAATCCTTCACAATAAGAGTCTCTAACTCATTCATTGAGTTCTGTAAGCTTTAAAAAACAACACTCTTTAAACATCTGAAGCTGAGGAGAATTATATTGTTGTTTTTTAGTAAAATACTTACTGCAGTTTTGACCAGCAGGAGGTAGAAGTCAACAACCAGACTCTTATTTTGGAGGGTCGAAACATGTTCAAGTGTGCTGAAGCGGGAGTTAAAACACTTTACGGCAGTCTGTCACCATGGTGATATACTCAGGTTTTATTTTGTTTTATTTTATTTTTTGTAATAGATCGTGTTTTACCTCTCTGGTTTAGGTTTTAAAAAGCATCTTTTTTAATTTTATTTTATTTTATTTTTTACT